CACTTACACGCGCAGGTCTCGGGTTGGCTGGAGGTAGCCTGTCAGGATCTCAGCAAGCTAGCAGACACAAGCAAATGTTCCCCGGAGGGAAGAAGAGAGGGAGGAGGTCCCTCCTGAAGGTTTGGACCCGTCTGTGGGGACGACCATGGTGGGATCTTGGGTTGTCCTTCTGGGGGTCATTAAAAGTGAGCTGCCATCTGCTGCAGGACACACCCTCAGCGCCACCTCGACCCCAGCCTCAGGCAGAACAGACCCTGGGACCCGCCAGCCTCCAGCAGCGTTGGTGTCATTATCGAACAGCCCTGATTGTTGGACGCGCTCCCCTACGCGTTGTGTTGAAAGTAGCCTCCCTGCGCTGTCTGCCCGGTCTCCTCCTGCTGGTCCTGCTCGCCGGGCCGCAGAGCACAGTCCAGTTCTTCCAGCCGCTGCGCAGACACGCCGAGCGCCTTGAATCGACGGGGTGGCGGCGTTCTCACCGCCTGGCTCTTGGATTAACCGCATGTTAATTCAGGATGGGAGGTGACACGCAGTCACACACGGGGTCCGTCCCTGAAATTCACCCGTGATGCAGAGTTGGGCGTGGGTGCGCACACTGGATGAGTGAGATGAGCCCAGGCCCCTGTAAGACGTTCAAGGTCAGCGTCAAGGAGACAGAGGGGAGCAGTGCCGTGTGTCCGTTTGTGACGCTTGTGTACCGCGCCTGCGCTCCCCAGGTTCCCGGGCCGGGGCTCCTTGTGCCCAGAGCGTGGGGGCGACCCTGGGAAGCCAGCACAGTGAGACCAGAGCGTGGCTCACAGCCGAGGTCGGGGCCCGGAACTGGGGTCTCAAGTTTGATGGGGTGGACGGGACGGCTTCCAGCACTCTGGCGGGAGCTGGCCAGGCCTCTGGGACCACGCGTGCGTGAACGGGAACGGGCGGAGGTAGGAAAGGGCGGTGATTGGGCGGGAAGGGGGGCAGCCCCGCGGGGTCGGTCCCGGCGGGCGAGGGGGCGGGGCGGCGGCTGGGGGCGCTGCGGGGCGCTTCCCGAAGACGCTCGGCCTCAGGGGAAGGACTCGAGCGGCCCGGGGCGGGAGCACGCCCCGGCAGCTGGGTGGCGTGGGACCGAGGGCAGGAGAGCAGCCTGCAGTCCGCCGCATGGTTTCAGCGGAGAAGTGCCTCGGGCCGGGCTCCCGCTGCAGGGGAGGCGCTGATGCGGGAGAGAACGAGGAGGGCCCCTGGTGGTTCGTGGCTGCCGAGGCGGTGTGGGAGGAGGGGAGGGGTGGCCCCGGGTCGTGGGGGGCCTGGGGGGCCTAAATTCCTGTCGCTAGAGTGCTGGGAGGGCCCGGCCTGGTCGGCACTGGGCTTCCGCTGAGCTGGGGCGGACGGAGCCACCAGGCACCGCCGGCTGTGCTCTGCAAAGCGGCGAAGGCAGCTGCGGAGCAGGTGTCAGCGCGCCTGGGAGGACGACTCCCTTCTCACCTTGGCTCTTTCTGACTAATGTGGTCCTGGGGACAGGCTCAGCCCCAGTGTCCCAGGGAGGCTGGCCTGGGACCCACAGTACCTCCCGGGGTGCCCAGGATCCGAACCCCGATGGCCTCAGCCCAGGAGGGGAGTGTGGAGGGCCCAGCCATCTCGCCGACTGGTTTCTTGATCGTTTAGTGTCGAACTCGCCTCGGGGCTGCTCCGAGATTAGTCTAATTACACCCCCGTCTGCCTCTTTCCCTCTTCTTTCCCTTTTAATTTTGAGGGGGGAGGTAATTCAGTTCATTTATTTACTTACCTAGTGTGGTGGAGGTGCTGAGGACTGAACCCAGGGCCTCGTCATGCTAAGCATGCGCTCTACCTCTGATCCGTGCCCTGCCCCCTCATTCCCTTTTATAGCAACAATTAAACGTGCAGCGTCTCAGAGAGCATTCTTAGCCTTCCTACCGACAAAGCCAACAATCATAGCCTGATCTCTGTCACTGCATTATTAATTCCCAACTTAACATAAAACAAATGGCCTGTGTGAAACAGTTCAAGCACTGCAAGAATATTTATTTTGAGTGACTAAACTGTACACTTCCTGTTCAGCTTTAAGGAAAATTGGTCTTTATTATTCCCGGGAAATGTCAGAATCACTAAGTGTTGCAGCAGTTTGACCTGCGTTACGTAGAACCAACCCTCCACATGTTTCTCATAAAAACATGCATCAGCGATGGCTTCAAACTGAACGTCAAACTTCGTTAAAGGTACAAGCCTCTTCAAAGTTACTGTGAATATCGAATATAACAATCAAATGCACAACAGCAAAAACTTTTTTTTTCCTCAAGGGCTGCTTCAAGCCGATGGATTTAGCAACTTTGTGATGGGGGTGAGGTCTCTGCTCTCATCAGTGACCCTGCTGGTGGGCAGGTTGGGCTTTGGAAAAACTCCATCATTTTTAAAAAATTGTATATAACCACTTATAAAAATATTAAAAATTTTTCTGTATCTTCTTTGACCTGTGGGATGATTACCTGGGCGTGTATGTATGTAAAAGTTGATCAAACTGTACTTTTCTAGATGTTAAATTGCACTTCAACTAAGTATGAATGTACGTATTTTTTCATAGTCCATAGAATGTAAGCAAGAATTTTTTAAGTTCTTCCTCATAAGAGGTTGTTAAAGGAGATGTGTTTTGTAGGGCACTGTTTAGCTGATTAAAAATCTCAGCTCTGTAATCTACTAGACCTTAGGTATGGCGTCTTGGGTCTGATTCCTTGGTGTTTTTTGGTAGGACCCTAATTAAAATCGGTGTCTGCTTGGCAGCTGGATAACGACGCCTGCTGGTCGTGGCCGGGGCAGGGATGGGAAGGTGGGGTCGCCAGGTTTCGAAGCCTTGTTAAGTGTTTCGTGGCTCTTGCAATATTTGGTAATAGAGATAATTGTGCATTTCCAAGATGGATTGTGCAGGTATTTTCTTGCTTCAGACATCTCCAGAGGCTCGACAGTACTGAAGGAGGCTGATTTTCTGGCACAAAAAGATGTTATTTTTAGGTCTAAACACCAGGACATGTAAAGACTTTCATGTTTCTAAGGTATTGATACTGGAATCAGTAACTGAGTACCTAGTGGTGACTCGATGCCTGATTTTCTCTAATATAGCTCCTCCCTTTGAAGCAAATCTAAAGAGTCACCCTGGTTTGGGGCAGTATAGTGTTGTACTGATGAGTGAGGGTCCTGGAGTCAGACTTCCTGGGTTCACAGCCCTGCTCCTCCAGGGACTGGGGTGGCACTTGGAGCAAGAAGCTGGAAGGGGAGGAGGAGGAGGATACCTCGGGGAACTTGATCTGGGATCAGCTGAGTTAATAAAGCACTTGAGAAAGTTACTAGGGCACTGTCGGTGAGCTCTGCAGGAAGACAGTGTGAGAGTTTTCTGCCCATCAGTCGTCACAGTAGGTGATGTAAAATATTTTATTTCACGTATGGAGAGGTGACACACAGCTTGAGTTTAATGCCTCAAGGAAGCATCCAACTAGGGACAGTGGACCACCCGAGACAGTGTCTAGAGAGGGAAAAACATCTGTTCACGTGGAATTCTTCTGAGTCCATCCCTAGTCGAGTACCTTAGTGACTTAGAAGCTCTAGAACCCAATGCAATGAGGACGGCATAAAAACTGTTAAAAATGATCAGGTTGGGCATATCAATATTTATTGAAATATTGAAAAAAAATTCCATTTTGTTGAGAAATTCCTGGCAAGAACTGACATGACAATATGTATTTCACTGAGACAGGAAGTAACGTCAACAAGGAACCGACTTCACGCTCCCCAGGTGGCCCGGGTTCAGAGCCGGGGCTAGCGGCAGAAGCAACCTAGCACAGAAATTCAGACACGACAGGTCGTCTGTTTAGGAACACAGACCACTGACAACAAACCGGGCCAAGCCAAAGCCCGTCGTGTCTGAGTCTGCCTTCACTGATCGATCCTGCAATGGATAAGGCAGCTGCTAAGCAAATGTCAGGTTGCAAACCGGTCAACGACGCACTCTAGAGAAAGGCCACATGCCGGCCGTGCGTGGACCACAGACGCCGAGTGGCATCCTTGTTTATCAGCGTGCCCCTGATGTCACCAAGCAGCGTGGCTGGAACTCTGCGGGTCGCCGTCTTTCTCATTGGGTAATTGACCAGTTAACAACATAACGATGTGTGACTCTTTTAGGTGTACTAGTCAGCGGGGAATATTGTATATTTAAAATCAGAAAACATGGATTTGGGGAATCAATATATTATTATTATTTTTTGCAGTGTTAAAAAAACTCGCAAATAACCATCCCTCATATCTCAAAATTTGCCTCCACCCATGTTCCACGTGCACGATGGAGCCACTTCATCCACTGCCGACACCGCTCCTCTCCAGCGTGGTGTTTCACTGGGGAGAGGGAAGGTGCTGCTGTGTCCTTGATGCTTTGGATGTGGACTCAGCTATTTTTCACTGTCCCTTGAGCCATGGAAATAACATGGGTGACTAAGCCTCTAATGAGGTGGCCTAGCTAAAGGGTCCCCTTCCCGTGGACGAGTATTAGAAGTGATTAATAAAAATAATAAAATAAGCCTCTTTGTACACACAGAAGTCATAACTAATATCTTTGGTATACAACTTACGATGCTTGGAAAGAAAACCCAGGGAAGACTCCACCCTTGTTAAATTTACTCATAAACAGAGGAAGCTACAAGTCACATAATTTACAATAGATATTAAATAAACTACGGTAAGAATTATGAAGATTTACAGACATTTAATCAAGAATGATTTTAATTCCTTAAGACCCTTCTTTGTCCCTGAACTATGTTCCACTAACTTGAAGACATGCTACAATAAACACATATATTTGGTTTCTTCAGTCTCGGCTCTATCTTATACAAAGGTGAAACCAAGGAACAATAAATTAGCATCAGAATTGTCTACAGTTGAAACTATGATGTACAATATAAATAAACTATTCAAAAGCCAGAAATGCTTATGAAAAAAATTAAGGGACTAGGAGATACTTTTCTCTCTTTTTTTTTACAGTTTCTACAAATGATTGTGCCGCCGATAATCTCAAAAAAAAAAAATTAAAGTCTAAATGAGATTCCCGTTTTTGATTTTAGTGTCTCACGACATACAATAATTAAGTACTGTTAAAAATAAGTAGCAATCAGAAAAATAACATTAAGGAAATTACTGCTTTAGCGATTTCATAATATCACAGCTCCCCCCTCCCCCCCAAGGACCTAAAGAATGTAAACACTATGTTTTATTTGACTTTAAAGTATTAACACTTTATTTTCGACAAAGGTTGGTCCGCATCTGCACAGCCAGCTCTGGGAACTGAAGTAAGGCAAGACTTCCACACCTGTGGCATCGCCTGTGCGTAACACTGACAGCGTCGCCTGGAGACCTTGTTTCGCAAGTCTTCATCCTCCAGGATCTGGTCTATAGCAGACTGTGGTCTACGTCTTAGCAAGGTCGGTATCACTCTCTTCCCTTCCCTTCTGGGGAAGACTTGAATCGCTTTAGTATCTTTCCAGGCCCTATGTAAAAATCACCGTTTCCACACCATGTGTAGGGAATGTTCAGCTGTAACAGGAGTCAATTTATCTGCTTGCTCCATCTTTTATTTTGCTTTGCTCGACTTGCTTCAGTTCTGTCTTAAGCTGCTTACACCTGTGACTGACATGCCAGCAAAATGTGTTTCACGTTGTATTTTTCACTGAACTACAAACCTCGATGGTTAAAAAGGCTGATGTATTCTAATGAGCCTTGAGGGCAGAAATTTTTAGGAAATCCAGCAGTGCTTAAGCTAAAGCTTTGAAAATCTGTAGTCCCTGCCCTGGATGGTCATGAATGCTTACGCAAGATCAGAAGAGGGCTACCACCAGCTTTTTGTTTTGTTTTGTTTTGTTTTTTTAACATGAACATACGACAGAACAAACCAGAATGTACTTAACATGGTATGCGAACACATTAACAGGCTGTTCTTATTAGCTGTTTGCAGGCCTAAAACACAGACGTTCAAGATTAGGCTTCTCATGATTTGGTGGTGCTACTTGGGGGTGTGGCTGAGCACAAGTCCTCGGGACAGATTCCCAGATGGCGGGACAGAAGGTGCTGGGTCCTCGAGGGGAAGAGAGAAGGGCTGTTGCAGGTGCAGCCGATGGATTCTGGACGATGGGTTCAGGTCAGGTTCACCACAGAGGGATTCCGTAAGCTCAAATCCCCCGCTGCATACACCTAATTAACAACACTGATCGGTCCCTCAATTTCTTCACAGCGGAGATCAGTTTAAATATACAAGAATCATTCTGTCCAGTTTTATTCTGACATGGTGTTGCCATCCATCTGTGAGTTCATTCTGCTCCATCACAATGTCTTTTATATGGAATCCTTCGGGGACGTGAAGCCTTTGATTCACAGTTTGCAGTACAAATACCCTGATACATCATTTATTTGCTATTAAGTATTCGATTATTACGCCTTTTAAAATTCAGTATCTTTAAACCAAGTGTTTTAATTAGTGTTGCTTGGAGCAGTTCAGAGTATTTTTTCCCCTTTCCTCCTGGCCTCCCCCCCGCCCCCCACCATCTCTTTTTGTTTTGGAAGCTGGCGCTCTGGGGCTGTGGCTAAGCTCTTTTGGCGTGCAGCATCTCAATCAGGAGGTTGTTGTAAGGGACGTCCCCGTTCAGGTGCTTGTAGTAGAGGTACTCCTCCGCCTGCAGGCTGATGGCCCGGATCTCGGGCAGCCGGAGGAGCAGCTGCCCGAACTTCTCTGTCTGCTGCGGGTAGTTGCACATGGTGTAGTCCAGCAGGGCAGCATTGACTTGCTCCTGGACCCCTTCCACCAGCTGGAAGTTCTCAAGGTTTTTGACATCTGGATTAAAAAAGAAAAGCACACTATTTCAATGGCGTCTTAATTCCTGTCTACGACGTCAGTGTGTTCAATTCATGGATGCGTTTTCCTCCTGACATAAAGCGTACTTTACACGCTGCTGAATATTCAGTAAGCCCCACTTCACCACGCTTCCTGGGAAAATGATCACAAAAGAGCTTTAGAAGAATGTCTTGTTGAAATTCTGCCTATACCTCAGATCAATTAGACACCAATGGGTTTTGAGCAAGGTCAGCCCTTTTCATAGCCCTTACAAAAGGAAAGGCTTGAGGATTCCTAAAGTAGGGGGATCATAATATATTGCCCGCAAATGAGTCCCTGGAGAAAGACCTATCTTAACCCAATATATTGCACAATTCATATAATTCTGTATTAATTTTTCTGACCCAAGGTGAAATCTGTGTCCAGGGTCTGATGTAGTTAATTCTAATAAAAAGTGACAGGGTTCTTGTTTCTGTTTGACATTTTCTAAATGATTCTGAAAGCCTTTGACTTGTCTAGTCTATGCTAATGAACCATCTGGTACACTCCAGTGACTGCCAACAGAATCAGCGCTCCTGGAACTCCTAAAATATGTATCTCGGTGACTAATGATCTTTATCAAATGAAAGCTTTGTCCTTTAGGCAGAATACAAGCCAGGATGGCCGGTGCCCTTTAACCTGAGCGTGGTTTCTGAAGTCTGAGACTTTTTTCCTCCCCTCCTGGTCATGGTCTCCTACAGAGAAGATAGGTTCAGCCTAACTCCTGGTGGCCCTCTGCCCTACGAGTCCTCACAAATGTTGAGTAAGAGGGAAACAGAGTCAAAAGGGACTGACACACGTACACAGACGATGAGCCAGGGAAGACGGTTGCGTTGGAATTTCTCTTCTGGAGTTTGTTTATGTTAACGGTGCAGCTTTTCTGAATGTGTATATAGAAGCCTCTGGAAGGAACATGTAGACGTGTGTGTGTGTTTACATATGGCTATGCTAAGAAAGTAAACAGAGGAAGCCACCCTCCCACCTCTGCTTTATTTTCTAATTGGACAAAAGTAAGTAAGAATGATTTAGTAGAAAACCACATAATATGCCAACTCAAATGTTAAATGTACTAAACCCGTTTAAGAGCTACCACAGCGATTCATATCCAATAGTTTTGTCACTGTATGTGGTCAAACTTAGCCTGCACATGTGTGCACGTCCACCTTGGTTTCTCTAAATTTTCTTTTTTGGGGCAAGTAGTAAAGTTGGTTTGTTTGTTTATTTGATGGAGGTGCTGGGGGTTGAACCCAGGCCCTCCTGTTTGCTAAGTGCCTCCCCCACCACTGAGCCATACCCCCATCTTGGTATCTAAATGCTGCTACAATATGCAGCCTTTCACTTGCTGTCCCAGTGTGCTGAGGAAGAGTTCAGTGTTTACATTTGCAGCCACAGCTTTGCATAAAACATGCTTCCCTGCTCCATCCCCAAGTCTCTGCCCCAAATGAACAACTGTGAGGAATTAGTACTTAAATAGATACACAGTGTGAGCATTGGAGACCACATCTATTTCAAATGGACAATGAAAAATACTTGATTATTGTTAATGAGATGAACACTACACTATTCGGAGATCTGTGTCTTCCTGTGGCATTAAACTGGTGGCCAGGGGTGGGTGGCGGTGTAGTGCTCCAGGGTAGAGTGATGTGTGCGAGGTCCTGGGTTCAATCCCCAGCCACCTCCATTAC